CTACATCTTGTTATCTCTGTGTACCAGGTCAACTTCCCCAAGCAACATTTTTTCCTTTGCCTGCAGCTTCATGAAATTGGAGAAGAGAAAAGAGAATCTTGGATTGCAATACTGAACTTGAATACTTAAATTAAGACTGAAGTACTATATATATAGATGCAACACTTCAAGTTAGTGAAAACACCGTGGGCTAATATTCAAGTTTTATAAATCGAGGTTAAGTACATGGTTGCAGCTGGAGGGAACTGAACAAGTGATAACTCAAGAAAGTGATTTTCTGGTAGTGGTAGCATTCATACATCTGGGCCAGAATGGCTGGGTTCAAGTCCCACCTGCCCCAGCTGTGTCATAACATACCACAACAGGATGCTTTAAGGAAAAAAACAAAAAAAAAGCAAGACTACCTGGTGCAAGAGTAAAGTCCGCAGGTGCAGTTCTACCTCAGTTTTACTTGTTTTGTTTCACTGAATAAAAATTGACTTTGGTCTACGACTTCACCAACTGGCAGTCATGAATTTAAACATGAACTGTAAGTCAATCAAAATAAGCTTAGCAACAATGCAGCACAATGTCCATTTGATTCTTTAGGGCCACACACCATTAGTACTGGAAACACACTTAAATTTCAGCTTTACTGGCATTTTACTTCGTTGCTTTTATACCTCCCTTCCCTTTGGCAATACATAAGATTTACAGCACAGATATGCCCAGTCTATGGCACTCATCTTTATTTCTTCTTTTATGGGATGTGAACATCTTGGGCTAGGCCAAGATTTATTACCCACCTATAATTGCCCCTGTAGTGATAAGCTGCCTTTTTGAACCATGGCAGTCTATGCAGTGTAGCTGAACCCATGATGCCACTAGGGAGGGAGTGCCAGACTTTGACCTAGCAAGACTGAAGGAACAATGATATAGTTTGCAGTCAGGATCGTGGGGGGCTTGGCGATGAACTTTAGCCTCCACACACTCTTCTTTATCCAACTCAGCCCCATCTATTCCTTTCTTCCTCACTTTAAAAGTGCACCTATACTATTCACCTCAGCTACTCAAGAGCGGAGTTCTCCATTTTCACTATTCCTTTTTAAACCAAGGAAGTCCCCCAGAATTCCCTAGTGAATTTATTTGTGCCCAGCTCATAGATATGGTCTCTTGTGCTGGTCACCCCTGTAAATGGAAAGATCTACAGGGCATCCCTTCATTTTCTGAGAGAGGGATCCCAGGCCTGTTCAAACCAACCCCTCAGTTCTGGTACCATCATAGTAAAATCATTCCTTCTCCAGCACCTCTAACATTTTCATTATATGGAGCCCAAAATTACTCTCAGAACTTGGTGTGATCCACAAGGTTTTGTACAAGTTTACTCAACATTCTTCCCATCCAGAAATGAAGCCCAGTACTTTGCTTGCTATTTTATGGCTTTATTAATCTGTGTACACTTTGTGATTTATACAAGCATTTCCCTAGATTTCTCAGCTCTTCTACCTTATTTAGAGGCATTTTCCAATGGGCACGGCCTCAGTATTTGAGCCCAGAACATAAGAATATATTAGAGGGAAGGGGTGTTTCTCTGTATGCTGCTATCTTCTCAAGTATATCCAAATCTAAGTTACACACATTAGTAAAATAGCTTGGATGCAGTAAAAAATTCATTTCATTACTTTTGAATGTTTCTGTTACTTAACAACGAATCATTTGTAGAAAGGCATGGTGAGAACAAAGCAGACAGAGCAAGAGAGAGACTTTATATAAAATGCTACCTGATCTGAACTTTCTTTTTCCAGTATTCTTCTTTTTACACAGTTAGTTGACTTTATTAATGAAGGTCTCATCGTATGCCAGTACCACTTGTGCTGCAACTTACCTTCAGATTGACCACATTTATTACAGTTTTATTACAGAGCAGAAGGAGACAGGTTGAGATGTTATTGTGTAGTGTCCAGATGCACCTGGCTCTTCTCTCTTGTTACTAAACCATTAGGAAAATTAGAAAGAGAACTTGCATTTAGTCAAGTACCTCATCAGATCTTCAGGGGTGTCTTGAAATGGATCAGTTGCAACATTATTTGTGAAGTTCAATCACTTATTACTTGGTTAAATGCAGCAGCTACTTTGCATATAGTAAATGCAATCAATGACCTATTAACTTGATGTTCCTGCACACCCCCTCCCCGCCCTTCAAAGTGTTAAATTCTTCTGGTCTTCTTGGAATGACAGCACAGAAAATAAATTGAAGATCCAGGCAGATAGATCTCTTAAAATGTTCCAAACACAAGGAAACACCTCTCATTTGACAATATGGCACTGTTTGTACTGCACGATAACACTAGCCTTACAGTAGGACTACAACCCAGAATCTTTTGACACACGAGAGAGTGTGCTACCAATTGCGTGAAGCGGAGAAAAGGAATCAAACAGACAAAGAAAACTATAGATTCCAGTGATGAAGAGCTTGGATTTTTAAAAAAAAATCTTCAACCAATATTTACTTCAAAAGAAATGGTTTTAATACGAAAGAAAGTATGTACAGGTAAGGTATCCATTCTCCATACCTCTGAAAACCAAAGAGACCTAAAAATCAGAAAGTCTTTGGAGAAACAGACCCAAATGGATCTATAGACATGCCAAGCTTGAGCACACTGCAGAGAAAAAAAAACTGCCAAATTCAGCAACTCTACAGGACTGTTTTGGACCTTTGGAAAAATAAAAGCTAGCTTTTGGGTTGGATTGTGTTAAGTAAACAGTTTTCCCAAAGGGCTTGAACAAACTATAGGAGACGCAAAATCTGAAAATATCCTTTATCCAAAAACTAGTTGGATTTGCTGAAACAATTCCCAACCTGTATAAAACCAACAGATTGTGGGGGAATTGGAACTTGCACTATCCATGTTACAGAAGACAACTATGCAACCAAAGAATTTGCCTAGGGGTTTGCTGTAAAAGGATAAATTAAGCCTTTGTGGAATTATTCTTAGTTGCATTCTTCTTTCAGGTTGTGTTATTTGTCTTAGTACATTGCTAAGTCTTTGCTTCTATACATCAGTTCACCTACAAGTAAATCTGGATCAAGTAATATTCAGCCTGCACACATTCAACTGGCAACACACTATTTGCAACTTCAAGAGGCGTTTGGAGAATGTAGTGGAGATTCCATCTATTTCCGTGCCAGTGGTTCATCACAATTTGGCCATGAATGCTTAAGGTGGGCACATTGGTCTTCATCCAGTGAGTAAAAAGAGAAGTAGTTTTTGGTCTGCAAAAGATTAGTCTGCTTGTAGAAAAAAAAAGTTGTCACATCACAGCAAGGGGTGGGATGTGGGAAAGACAAATAGAAATCAAGCAGACGTTGTAATTTGGTTAAGAGGAAAGGTCCTTTAATATTACAGGGTGGTTACTTAATCTACTGGTCAGCTTCGCATATAGAGATGAATAAGCCAGTCTGCTTTTAGCACAGGTTTAGAATGAAATTTTAAGATCAGACATACCAGTCTTTCACACTCTGTTTCTGCTTTCTGCCGACGCTTCATTTCTACATCAACTTGGTTACGAGCATGCTTCAATTTGACATCGAGTGCACTTCGCTCAGTCTCAGCTTTTGTTAGGCACTCTGTAGCACGGGAAAGCTCCAATTCAGTCTTTTGCCATTTTTTCCTACATTCTTCAAAGTTTTTGGCTAACTGAATAAATTCTGCAAGGAAAGAAAAAAAAGTGCAGATATAAATTTTAAAAAGTGCTTACCAAAGCAACACCTCCATATGATGTATTGATGCAAGGTGTGCTGAAGTGAAATAGCTACATTGATGTAAAAATATGGTATCAGTTTTGTTTTAAAATTGTGTCATTCTCTTCCCAAAAGGATCACTTGGACAAAAAATAAATAAGACTCTTAGATCTGAAGGCTCTTCTGAATCTGGAGTATGTAAATCATTGCCCAGATCTATGCGTGGTCAATTCCCTGGCCGTTTAGCTTGGGTGACGCCCAGAGTGACTAATTTCCAAATTGAGTTTATATTTCAAATTCTGCTGCTCTCTCCTCAAGTTTCCCAGGTCTAGCTGCTTTAAAAAGGGCTATTCTCAATGTCAGACTTGTTCACTGGTATTTTTGGTTAGACACACCAAAGTAGCACATAGTGAACAGTTCCACTCAAGCCACCAGGACCCAAGAAATTTGAGGGGGAGAAACTTGAGCAGTATGGATTATAAACAATTGATACTGGGACAAAGCAGAATGAGATTGAGATGCTTGAGAAACCGACAC